CTCCGGCGGGGCCCTTGCCGGGATGGAATTCAGGGCCCCCTCGCCGCACGCGGAGGCGGCCTCGGAGGGACCCCGGAGGGGTTCAGCCGCCGTTGGTTTGACAGGGCACGAGGGGCCGGCTGTGCCCTTCACAGTGCTCCTTGCTTCCTCTCCCAGGGCAGCGGCGAGGTAGTGCTTTTCGGTAGCGGAGGTCCCGCGGCGAGCGGAGCGGAGGCGGAGGCGCAGGAGGTAGTGGCAAAATCTGAGCCTTGAAAATCGGGGGGGGAGGAGCGGGCATCACGGGGACTTTAACTGGGATTATACAGCCCAGCCTGTCGCCTCACTGATGGGCGCGCTAGTTGTGGCATGTGTCTCTTAAAATGCATTTCAGAAGCGTTAGCTCCTGGGGACAAAGTAGAGCATGGACAGAGGAGTCCTGCCTTACCACGGAAGCATGCGGTAGGAGGCCTGCGACTGTACGCCAGGGTTGCCATAACCAAGCGTTCAGAAAGCGTTTTAATAACCGTAGTTAGAATTCCTTAGTTTCATTGCCAAACTCCTAATTTTCCTCTGTGCGGGCACAGTGTTTCTTAGTGGTTGAACTTTCTCTCTGTGTTGATGCTCCCTAAAATGTGTTCTGAGTGTTTCTCTGCAGGGGATGTTTGCTCCCTGGAACTGATCAAAAATTGATGCTTTCCTCTATGGCCCCAGGCTTTATCTCTGGCAGTTACTTTTGGGTGGAGCTCTCTTTCTTTGGTTTAACTTACTAAATACAGAGTATTTTTTACTGGGGATATCGGATACAGGAGACAAATTAAACCCGCAAGGTGCGGGTACAAACCAGATGGAAGATGGTTCTTCGTACGCGCGTAGTTTAGCTGGAGAACTTTTTATTACAAGGTTTTGTGGATGCAAAAGGTTCAAGGGGAGACTGGTTGACTTTATGGAAGTTCTCCCATTAGGAACGAGCCAGACAGACGTTCTCGGTGAGAAAGTAAATCCAGACACCAGACAGGCTGCTGGAGGCTACGAGAGCGCGCAGGAGAAGTCTGTGTACTTTGTGGTGGTGTTGGTTTCTGGTTATCAGCATTTGGCTGCATGGGAGGTGACATAAATGGACGTTTAGTTGGGCCTGGTGTGGGTATTTCTACTTGCGTTGTTCAGCGTGTGTTTGTGGGTAGAGGGTTGTCTGGGTGGTTTTTTGCTTTGCTTTTTAGGGGGATGCTAGATGATAGCTGTAGAATGGGTGGATTTCTCTACTAGGGAGGACGACAGAACTAAGGTTTTGCAATGCTTGAATCAAAGCGCGGAGCGTTTTACAAGCCCTGTTCCTTTCCATGCTTATGCCTGGAGTTTTAATTCCGTATGGAGAGCGCTGTTTTGGGGATGGGTTTCTGGAGTTCCTGGGCTCTGGTTCCACGTTTGGAACTTTTGATCACTCTGTTACTTTGAAGCTAGCGTTTCATTGCTAGGGCTTCCCAGGATTTCTTTTTCAAGGGAAAAGGCCAGAGAGTTGAGAATAGTGTTAATCTCTATGAATGGAGCCGCTATTCCTCATTTTATGAAGATTTTTGTAAGGGTGAGAGAACCTCTGTTTTTTTCTCTCTAACCTGCAAGGATCAAACATTGAAACAATACTCTACTTCAGAAAGGCGTAGTTTTAATTAAGTAATTGCGGGGAGAAGACTTTGAAAGCAGTTCATGCTAATCAGTCTGCTTTCTTTGTAAGGTTTTTTTTGGGCTTACCGTACCTTCATAGTTCAAAATAGTTGCCTTTCCTGCTGTGTTCATAGCTCACAATGAGTAGAATAACATTGTAGTTCTAATTATACAAAGTAAATTTAAGAACAGATTTTAAAATGCTATTATTGTTGATACTTAGCTGTAATTTTAATGTCTACTTCAAAAAAATGCTTATGAGCAGACCTGAAAAGTGGATAGGGCACTTGAGAAGCAGCAAGGAACAGGCTTGGGATTTTTTTTTTTAGAAAGGGGAGGAAGCTATTTTTTTCTCCCCCTTATAACACCTACAAGGCACAAGTGCAGATAAACTATATCCACATGAGGCGAAATTTTGTATCACGGTACATTGGTCAAAGTTTTAGAGACTTGACTTAGGTGCTCTTGGCGTTGATACGAGACCCTGAAGCCCCCTCTCTAGTGAGGCGAGCTGGTGCTGCTTTTCGTGTTGTGTTTGTGTTCTGAGGGCTTCCTTTGCAATCCCAAAGGCCAGAAGCTTAGCTGTCACCTTATAAAAGACATACAGTGGGTACCTCGCTTGCTGAAAACTAATGCTTATCGTATTACAGAAAAGTAAATTCTCTGTGTGATGCTACTTTTTCTACAGGTTTTATAGGGCAGCAAGGTGTAACGAAGTAAGGGAATGCACGAGTGTTCTCTAATTAGAGTTTGACAACGATGTTTTGTATTTCAGGGCAAATGACCCAGCTTTGTGAACTGATCAATAAAAGCGGAGAACTACTAGCAAAAAATCTTTCCCATCTGGATACAGTGCTTGGTGCCCTGGATGTGCAGGAACACTCGTTAGGCGTTCTTGCTGTCTTGTAAGTGTTGCTTTCTTTTAATTAAAATATCTTAATATTAAAACTTCAGGCAACATACTGAATTGTCCACCAAATGTTTTTCTTTTGGACATAGGTGTTTTCAGTCTGCATTTCTTAGAATGGTGCTTCGTTTCCTTCGGTGATGCACATTTTATTAATAAAAATACCAAGGCAAATTTGTGTTTTCAAAAGAAAAAACCTCTGGAGCTTGTAAATGCCTTTACTGTCAAATGGTAACACTGGGGGTTTGTTTTCCTTAAGGCTGTATCCATTTCTCTTGTTTATGCCTTTGTAAGTATTTTTCCATACATGTTCAGCAAAAAGGTGTAAACCAAACTTTTAAAACTCGATTGGCAGGGCATTAGTGCGCTGAACTGTAAGCATGAAGCAACGTGCTTATTTTTTTTTTTGCCAGTGAAGCATGGGTTCTTATCATAGTTCTTCAGTATTTGTCTCTGGACCACATTGAGGCTCTTGCTGCTCTCTGTAGTGTAAGACAATACTTGAATTGTCTTGGTGATGCTGAGGTAAGGTAAGGATATTTGGCCCTGAAGCTCAAACTATTGTTTCTAGCTGTACCTAACCGCAAGCGAAACGTCTACAGGTTCCACTATTATTTTAAAGTTCACTTTTAAAGGAAAGACCAGAGTTCTAGTACTTGTTCTACTACCCTTTTGAAACAAAATGACTGTAATACATGGAGATAATGCACTTAATATTACAATTCATTAGCATCTTGTAAAAATGCATTATGGAATTTACAAAAAACAGGGCATCAGTACTGCATTAGCGGAAGAATCATATCATGGGGTACATGAAAACAGTCATTCAAACAGGTGGAGGAAGGAAGATAACTTTATAAGAAATAATATGTAAACCGTGTTATTTGAAGAGATGGCATCAGTGGAGTATATGGTAAAGTTCTGGCTGAAACTGTGGCGTGGCAAACTCCCACGCTGGTAGAATAAGACTCTCTGAAGAGACAGGGAAGGGGTGGCAGCACGTAACCTGGACAGCCATAAGCCTTGTGGGGAAGAACAGTCCATGATCTAGGTAGGTTTGAACTGCATATTACAGTGTGTAGCAACTGAAGTATGGGCAGGGTTGGGTACCTTCCAACAGCATTGCTACAAGAAGGACATCGAGGTGCTGGAGCGTGTCCAGAGAAGGGCAACGAGGCTGGTGAGGGGTCTGGAGAACAAGTCTGATGAGGAGCGGCTGAGGGCACTGGGGTTGTTTAGCCTGGAGAAAAGGAGGCTGAGGGGAGACCTCATCGCTCTCTACAACTACCTGACAGGAGGTTGTAGCGAGGTGGGGTCGGTCTCTTCTCCCAAGTAACAAGCGATAGGACGAGAGGAAATGGCCTCAAGTTGCGCCAGGGGAGGTTTAGATTGGACGTGAGGAAAAATGTCTTTACTGAAAGAGTGGTGAAACATTGGAACAGGCTGCCCAGGGAAGTGGTGGAGTCCCCATCCCTGGAGGTATTTAAAAGACTAGTAGATGAGGCGCTTAGGGACATGGTTTAGTGGACATGGTGGTGTTGGGTCGACGGTTGGACTCGATGATCTTGGAGGTCTTTTCCAACCTCAATGATTCTATGATTAAACAGAGGTGTTTTTCTGTATGTTTTTGTGACATCTGTAGGATGCGTAGCTGGAGTTTTCATTGCCCTCAGATGAGCATATTCATAGTTCATCTTACAGAAGCAGCAGTGTGCAAGGCTACAGCCTACAGGGTGCTAAGGAACCACCAGAGATGGAGGGAAACTGGAAGTGAAGAGAAAGAGCTCCTAGCAAGAGATATACATCTCATAATTTAATAGTTGAGAAATCTTGAGCACATTCAAGCAGGAGATGGCTGCAGGATAGGCAAAAGCATCCAGAGAAGTTGTGTGGCTGAGTGTTACAGTTCATCATCGTTAGCCAGTGTTTCTATTATGATTGTAACTATTGTACCAGATAAAGTGATCTTTGTTCCCATAGTTTGTTCTAAATTGTAGTTTGCACTAGATTGAGAATGGGGGTGCGCACGGAAAGCGTATTTTCAAATGTTGTGTAGCTCCTGGGGAAATTGCACGCCATCTGTCATAAACACTTTGGGCTTGTTCGCAAGCATCTACATGCATCTGCAGAGTCATAGCGATGAAGGTGAAGCTTTTTTATTAATCTCCAAATGTTAAGTGTTAAACCTTTTTTGTTGTTTTTATTTTAGGTTTGTGAAGTTTTCTATGCCCAGCATCCCTGACTTCGAAACATTATTCTCACAGGTGCAGCTTTTTATCAGCACTTGTAATGGGGAACACATTAGATATGCAACAGACACTTGTAAGTTAAGCTTACTTTCGGACTTTATATATTTTTTGATAGTTTGATATTACTGATTTTTCACTGTGTTGGGTTTTTTGTTTGTTTTTTTGCTGTATTTAGTTGCTGGCCTGTGCCACCAGTTAACAAATGCCCTTGTGGAGAGAAAACAGGTGAGCAAATATCTAGTACAAATAAGCTACCTACATATCCAAGCTCTTGAAGGGGATGTTACCAGCCTCTTACTCACTTCATAAAGATTTGCCACTAACTTCATGTTAAGTATTTTTGTGCAGCTCCTTACTTGTTAAGTTTACTGAGAGGTAATGAACCTAAACCAAGATTTTAAGGTTTCTTTAAGGAAAATGTAAGGAAGATAACTTTTTCTTTAGGAGAGTCACCTAAAAAAGTGCTGTCACACACAAACTAGGAAATCTGTAGTACCAAGAATGTTCTTCAGACAAGTGTGCGTGAGTAGGAGAGCGCTGCAAAAGTTATTAGCGCTGGTGAGTCAGTGACACTAGTTTCAGTGTTACTCTCACCAGTGTTATATAATGTTTTTAATGAAATGCCTTACTGTAAAGGGAACTTGATTAAGAAATATTTGACCAATGTTTTTGTTGCTAAGATACTGATTTTTTTTCAGGCCATTTTAGTTAAATCTAGCCTGAAGTAGAAGTAGAGATCAAGTCTGGTCTAAGTGGACTAAAGCGAGAGCCTTGCCTTTGCTATTTGGTGGGAGTTTAGATGGCGTCATGGAGTCAAAAGGTTTTGTTATTGATACAAATTACTGTATTCCTGATGCGGTTGGCTTTGTGGAGCAGAACTGATGACTTTATTTAGTTTATCAGGAGAAGTTGTATAGCCAAGGTTAATTTTATTTTCTGAGAGACTGCAGTATCCTACAAAAAGGGAACCTCACGTTAACCATTACTTAATGGAACCTGTCAATTAGTGTTATTTTTCATTTGTAAGTGTCAACATAAGATCCAATGTGCTGCCATCTATGAGAAATTATCTGAAAGAGATGTAATTTCTGACAGCCCCTGCGAGGAATTAGCATTCTCAGACAAGCCATAGACAAGATGCAGATGAACACAAACCAGCTGACCTCAATACACGCAGATCTCTGCCAGGTAAGGGGAGCGTGAGGGCTTTTTATGAGAGTAAAGGCTTATAAAATACCTATAACCCTTTGAGGAAATGCATGTTCACATATTGCAATGTAAAAATGGCTTTTAACTGTGGTTTTTTTTCCAGTAATAAATAATATGATATACTGAAATAAAATCCCCTTCTATTAATTTTAAATGTTCAGCGCATGTCCCCAGGTCTTTGGTTTTGTTGATGACTTCTGAAAGTCCTTTGACATCCCTTCCCTCTGGGCTGAAAGTCACACACAGCTTGTCTTAGGTGGTATAAGTGTAATCTCCAGATACTGTTTGCTCAAGTTTGACAAAAGGCATGTTTGTCTTGGTATCTTTGGCCTGGATTTCCACTTCTGTCTCATTCTTGGCTCCTGGGATTTAGGGTTGGACAGGAATGTTTAGTGCAATATTTAGTGCTGCCAGCACGGTAGTCTGGAAGGCCTGGAGTTTCAAGCAGCTTTGTCAGTCTAATTTCTTTAGTATTCAGATAACTTATAACAGTTCACAGTCTGTGTTAAGGGTTTTCCAAATACCATGATGCAACAAATAATCTGTGTTGCAGCACTACTGATGTGCACTGTTTTTTCACTCTTGGAGGAGTGAGATTTATTAAATAGTACTAGATGAATTTAGTTTCAACTTCTTCCTCATGGAAATTTGAATGGAAATGGCTAATTTATGAAAACTTGATTTATTTTCTTGTAGCTCTGTTTGTTAGCAAAATGCTTTAAACCTGCCCTCCCGTATCTAGATGTGGACATGATGGATATTTGTAAAGAGAATGGGGCATATGATGCGAAGCACTTTTTATGTTACTACTACTATGGTGGGATGATATACACTGGGCTAAAGAACTTTGAAAGAGCACTCTACTTTTATGAACAGGTAACTTTAAATAAAATGGTAAGTCTAAAGCGCGATCAATTGAAAGGCAAAAGTAGCATGTGTAGTAGGGCTGAGAGAACATAGCATCTCTGAATTGCCACCAAGGGTAGCAATAAAAGCCGTGAACCTAACAAAGTACAAGCAGTCTCCAGTTATTTTCATTCTTAAGGATATAATTCTACTAACAGATCTATACTGCTCTTCATCATTCACGTAGGTTTTGGTTTAGCACAGGTGTTCATCATAGTAATACATAAAAACTGATTTGGGTTAGTGTTCACTATGAGTTCTTTTATGAAAGGTACAGCCTGAGTGGTACTCTTCAGCGTAGAAAGTGAAGTAGCAAGCAAACTGTCTTTAGAGGTGTTTTCCTTTTAAGAAGGTCTCTTACAGCCAAGTAACTATTGCACCATAAAACTATGCGACTCAAAGGTTGATGTTAAATTTATCTCACTGTAAATATTTTTCAGATGCCTGCTTATTACTGCTAGCATAGAAACAGTTCACAGGCTGACATTCAGAATTGTCTATTCTTAAATAAAAAGTAGTCCAGCGGTTTTGCTAAGACCTTTGCTAATTTTATGAGGGGAGTTACACTTCAAGGCTGTTACGATATTTGCTGCTTTTACTTTCTCTGTGAAAGAAGAGAAAATCGCAAAATTGGGAAAACTTTGTGTGCGTGAGAGAGGGAAACACTGTCAAACGTGCAAAATAAACTGGTGCAGCATTTTTCTTTTCGGTAAACAAGGGTCAGCTCTTGAGTAGCTAGCAGTATGATAGTAAAGTAAAATCCCTCTTCCCTATTCTGCAGACCTCTTTCAGCATACTTAAATATGAGATCTGATGACGCAATAGCTTTGTAAAACCTCTTTAAGAACCTATGTAAATCCAGGTTCTACAGGAACTGTATAATCATTCCTGGTAACAAGTAGCTACAGGTGATTTCTAGTACAACTTTAGGTATATAGCAAGGAAAGAAGTTTTGATTTGATCTTAACAGGGTTATTTTAAGGTAGGCATCACTGTAACGTGATATGTTTTGAGTAGCTTATTTACTTTTTTAGGACACTTTTGGATAATTAATTTTGACAGAAGTTAGTTAAGCTTTAATGCTCAGAGGTGAATTTCATATGTCATTGTATCCTTTCTGCATGCAGCTTGAAACTGAGATTTTTTTTTTTTAAATGCAGTAGCTACCAGGATCTACCAGTAAGTATACTAAATTTCTATTCCATTTCTTTCTTTCTTGCTTAGGCAATAACTACTCCAGCCATGGCAGTCAGTCATATTATGTTGGAATCATATAAAAAGTATATTCTAGTTTCTTTGATACTACTTGGCAAAGTTCAGCAGCTACCAAAATACACTTCCCAGATAGTTGGTAGATTCATTAAGGTAAGTCTTGCGAATACAGTTAAATAATAGAACAACAAATCTGAATTTGTAAATGATTTTTTTTCTACCCTCATCTGATGGTACTGTTTAACATTGCGGATCATGGGAAATAATGCACAACGTGCCAGAGTACGACCTCTTGCTGCCTTTCTGGTGTACGATAGCTAAAGATTGCCTGGCAACTTCTACGTCTATTACAAACAAACTGTATTGTTCGTATTGGCGATACAGGTTTTTAAACTTAAATTTGGAAAAACTTCAGGGCTGAATAGTACTTACCAATATTCTCTTCACTGATACTGCACATCCCTTGATGGCATTTTACATTAGAACTCAAGACTCGGATTTCACTTGGCTTTCAATATGCAGTGTCCTTGTAAAAACATTCAACCTGTAACTTCATCTAGTTGAAGTACGAAATGCTAAATAGTTTATTCCAAAACTCCAGCTTTATAAAGAATAAAAGCTTCTGAAAAAGCTGCATGTTTGGAGTCTGTAAGCATTCTGATTAGGAGGTGTAGGGTGGGAGACAAAACTGCTAGTGAGAGTTCTGATCCTAAGTAAATAACACACTTTTAAAAATTAGATAGTTCTTATTTAACACTGAGTTTGTTGATTTGTGACCAAAATTTTAAAGAGTTCCAAAAATCTTCTTCTAACTTCAGATACTAATAAGCAAGCTCAAACAAGTGCCATTTTAAAGTAATTTAGGTGAACTAGTCTTCACCCTTTGATTCTCTGTTGTCCATGCTGTGATGCATTGTGGTCAAGGATGACACTGTCTTAGAGGGCAGAACAAATATAATGGATGGGCAGTGACTAGTCAATATGCTACTTACCTTGAGTTCAGCTTACTTCATGTACTGGTCAGCTAATGGACTTTTTCTTGCTCTCCCGTAACTGGAACTGTCATACAGAGGTCCTTGAATGATGTTTACTAAATCTTATATTGCAGTGATACAGATTCAGTGTATGAGGATCTGTTGTTGCTGTAAAGTCATGTATGGGCATCGCAGGGCATCACGTAATTTTTGAGATGCTTGAGCTACTTAAATTTACTTTTATGCCTGCATGGCTTCTAATGTTGAAGTAGTGAATAGATTTTTGTGAGGCTGGTTGAACACCGTGTTCTTCAAGAAGGGTTCTCATTTTTCTAATTGCAGCCCCTTAGCAATGCTTACCATGAATTAGCGCAAGTTTATTCAACCAATAAACCCTCGGAGCTTCGGAATCTGGTGAACAAACACAGTGAAACATTCACAAGGGATAACAATATGGGGCTGGTTAAGCAATGCTTATCATCTCTCTACAAAAAGAATATTCAGAGGCTAACCAAGGTAAGATGTAGGGGGCTTGTTTTGCTGAGAAATTGTGGTTAGTTTTTCTCAAAGAGTGTATCTCTGAACTGAATTCAATTCAGAGCAAAATGGTAATGCAGTAACGTCACGGAGAAATGACTAAAACTGAGATTTGTGTGTCTGAAACAAATGGGACCGAAATGCTCTACATAGACAGACATACTGAATCACCTTTTAAATAATGCATAAGCAGCCAACTGAATTGGTTTTCTATCAGAGGGGTTTGCCCATGTGATTTTCATACATAATCAAAGAAGTTGTGAGTGCTGCTACCAAATGACCTTCATCTCTGTTTGAAAAATAGGAAACCTGAACTTTACAGGTTACTTCATTAGAGAAGAGTGAGTGAGTGAGACAGATAGGTTACTTCATTAGAGAAGAGTGAGTGAGACAGACTTTTGGAAGTGTCTGAAGTAAAAGGAAAAACAGAAGCAGTGGAGTGATGTGCTCCTTCAGCTGAGAGATCAGATTAATCCTTAAAGATGATCAGGGGAAAGGTCCGTGTCCCCCCCCCCAAGCTCAAATGATGTTTGTTGCAGTAGAACTAACCTCAGAAGTAATGCAATACACGCATCTCTTGAAGGAAGTTCAAGGGATGGGCAGTCACCTTATTCATGTAGAAAGGTGAGGGAGGAGGTTGGCCGTGGTCAGGACTGTGTCTGGGGTAAAAAGGGACTGCAGAAATGGAGTAATGGCTCCATTAGTTCTACTGCGCGTGTGTGCAGACCAAACAAATTGGTATCTTTGGAGGAAGAACTGACTCTGCTCTCACGGTGTTTTTATAAGTAATAACTATGTGATCCACTTGTTTCTTCCCATCGGGCTTCAAAGTAAGATTGCATAGGCCATGAAGGATTGATAGGGAAAGTTCTTAGTGTCTAGTTTTCACCATTTAATACTTTCTAAATTTCAGACATTTTTAACATTGTCATTACAAGACATGGCAAGTCGAGTGCAGTTGTCAGGGCCCCAAGAAGCAGAAAAGTACGTCCTCCACATGGTAAGAGTCGTTACCTGGCTAAACTATCCTAATTTAAAAACTGATCCAATTTAAGACTCTCTTAAGTGTTTGGATTGGCAGTGCATGTTCTGAATGGCTGAAGAATGGTTCTTTTTCAGGGTGAAGGAAATACTGTCAGTCTGCTGTGGTGTTTAGACTGTTCTCAAAAAATCTTAAAGGATATTCTCCGCCTAAGAGAAGGCATGCATCATTTGTCTTTGGGAAGCTGTTGGGAAATAAAAAGCAAACAAGTTAAAGATGATTCCACAAGGAGTCCATGTGTTGTAGTTACCTGAAATTCTGTTCTTTGTGATACCTTACATTAAACCCTCTCTCATTTCAGATAGAAGATGGTGAAATCTTTGCAAGTATTAATCAGAAAGATGGTATGGTCTGTTTCCATGATAATCCTGAAAAATATAACAATCCAGCTATGCTTCATAACATTGATCAGGAGGTAAATCTTTAAGATACTAACTGCTTTTGGAATTCCTACTGCAGAGCCTTAGTCTGTAATCAGAGAGCTGCTGGGAGAAGCCGGTGTGGGTAACTTACATGTAGAGATTGAGGAATCATTATTGAGATTGAGGAATCATTATTGAGATTGAGGAATCATTATTGAGATTGAGGAATCATTATTGAGATTGAGGAATCATTATTGAGATTGAGGAATCATTATTGAGATTGAGGAATCATTATTGAGATTGAGGAATCATTATTCGATTATTTCACAGTACTAGTATTTAAAGGTTTTAGATTGATAGTCAATTACTGTCAATGCGTTCCCTGTTGTATCTTCTGTACAGCTTGAGATGTTTCAGTAGACTGACTGCTTGATTGTACAGCTTGAGATGTTTCAGTAGACTGAAACATCAGTTGGTGATGTGAAGTTCCTTGAACTGACTGGATTAGAAAGATTGTTTTTAGAGTTTTAGACTTCAAGGATCGCTTCCACTGGATGTCGATAACTTGCCTGTAGGTTGAGGTGGTTGACCTGCATGGGACTGTCTGTCAGTGGCCTTAAAAAGGATTGTTAGGAAGATATGGATCAAAATAAGGGAACAAAAAATTGGTCTGACACTTTTGTTTGGGAGATGAGGGATGAGCACTTTGACACGGAGTTTTTGTGATGGCAAAAGTTATTGGTTCTACATAGCACAGCCATGAAATGTATTGAAGGTCACGTTCAAGCTGGACAAAGTAATCAACTTTATATATATTTTTTTAAGATGCTGAAATGTATAGAGCTTGATGAACGACTGAAAGCCATGGATCAAGAGATCACTGTGAACCCTCAGTTTGTGCAGAAGGTAATTTAGTGTCTTGTAAGAGACTCAGTGCAGTGAGTATGTGTTGCATTGAATGTCAGTATTTACAGTGTTAATAATTACGTATTTTTAGTAATGATAATAATAGTATGTGCATAAACATCATGCTTTAAAACAAAAAGGAAGGGCATGTTATTTCATATGCGCTTTATTTTCCTACCTGTTAACTTCAAAGAACTGTCTGTCTCAAAGGTAAACCTTCAGACCTGTTTTTGAAAAGGAATAACTCTCTCCCTTCCAGAGTATGGGCTCTCAAGAAGATGACTCAGGGACCAAACCATCCAGTTATTCCTGAAATTCGTGTTGCTCACCACTCCGCTTTCAAGTAAAAGCTTATGAAAGAATCACGCCTGGAATAGGGCATTGAGGAGTTCCACGAAGGGAGCAGAGAGAACTGAGCTTTGCTTTTCACCTGGACATTAAGAAAATAAAAGAACACCCTCTCAGTACTGTACAATATCAGAAATATTCTCTGCAAAGAAAAAGGAAATCTCAAAAGAAACTTAAGTCTGTTGTGGATTTATTTATCTTCAGATTAACATCGTTAATGCATTAAATAATCTACCTTTTGTTTTAAAGGGTTTGAATGTTGCTGTGTTTCTGTAGCAGTCCTTTTTTCTCTTCTGCAAAAAAAAAAAGTGTTATTCAGGGAAGAATACAAACTAGTGTTGGTTCACTTACAAGATAATTACTGGTTCATTATTCTGTATTTAAAGTTGGCTCAAAGTGCAGATTTATCATATGTATGGTGGGGGGAGAGGGGTGGAGTTTAAGTAAATTCTCTACATTATAATTTGCATATGCCCAATGTAGCTGGCTGCTGTCTATTAAATGAAATAAGAACTGTGCTCTTCCCAAAAGGGTGAGCACAGGAACGAGTCCTTGTAAGGCGGTTTTGCTGAAAAGCAGAAATCACTATAGGGAATCCATACATGACAGCTATTTATGATTTTAAATTCCTGGTACAAAATATCTCCTAATAATGTTTACTCTTAGATCAAATTTATTAGACCTAAACAAAAGGATATTTGGGAGACCGTGGTGTTCTGGAGGATGCTGGATGTGAAGGTGTTGACACCGAAAGCAATTTAAATTTTTGCTCCTATACAATTGGCATGAAGGTATTCAACAGGCTAGTACTTTCCTGTGGTGGAAATAAGTATAAGTGAAGGCGATGCTATAGATCTTTGTTTCCAAAGAAAGTAATTCTACATGGAACACAGAATTCTATACAGCTCTCAAAATGCAGGATTTTATTTGGAGATAACATGCTGGAATGCTATCTGGTTTTTAATTCACTATTTTAAACATAAAAACTTTGTTGTTGGATTCTTTTAAGTGCTTCACCCCTTAAATCAATGGGCTCTTTAATTTTTCTGTAGCTCTCATGTATCTGATGATTCTCACTGTTAAAACACCTTTGAAACACTTCATGTCAGTGCAAATCTCCTCCTATCAGGCATAAATAAACCTGTCATCAAGTCAGAATGCGAGAAGCTCAGCATCCAGTGCTTCCTACCTAAACGCCTGACTAGGAGCTGCTTGCTACTGCTAACCTGCCAGCTTTTTTTCAGGAGCCTGAGTGAGAGCTAAGCCTTTCTGGCTCTTGCTGTGTGAAGCTTGTATGTATTGAGGTCACCCGTTGTGGAAAACACTCCATTTGTGCTTCCAGTGCTGATACAGAACTGTTGGGGTTTTCATTTAACTCGTGTCTTAATTGTAGCAGAGCCTCTGTGACAGCAGTATGCTTTCTAGTAGAAGAGAAATGCCCCCAGGTTGTTCTCTAGGTGATGAATGACGTTTTTAGAAGTATAAAATAGCAGTTTAGTATTGAACACAGCATAGGTCCATAGTGTTAGTAGCTCACCATTGAGTACTTGTGCTTCCTATCATACAGACTTCCATATTTGAAGGCAACTTTTCAACCTCGGGGTTTTTTTTTTCCCCATAACTTGCCTTACCAGTCTTGTAATTAAAAAAACCTTCAAAAATCATAAATATCTTTTCCTAGTTAATCCTGCAGCGATTTCAATGCTGAACATGCTTACGCCATTTTCTTCTCTGGTACTGTGGCAGTGTTAAATTAGTAGATTAGTAATGCTGTGGGCTGGGTTGTCAAAGCGTTTACAACCATGTGTGGTAGTCATGAAGTACCGCAAACGACTAACGTACGAAAATGTGGATGGCTCGCCTTTCGTTGCCAGGGAGAGAATGTATGCAGGATGCTTTCACGAAGTTGGAGAAGAACCAGAAATGCCCACTTCGCAGTGGCTGAGCTCTTATACCGCTAGTTCCTATTAGCGAGCGTGGACTTAACCTGCTGAGAGCAGCAGGACGGCTTTCTATCTGTGGAATTGGAAGCAAATTAATACATGCAGCTGGCAAATAGCAGCTACGTTTTCTCTTCTTTTTCGCCTCAAGTAGATAAAATAAATCCACGCTCGCATCAAAAGGATGGTAGAAATAGCTGTGTAATAGTTTCAAATGATATATTGCGCTATTTTTCTTAATCTGATTTTTAAGAGGGCAAATGCTTTTAAAGTTGAGACCTGCTAAGGTTCCTTTTCTGACATGGATAGTTGTGCTGTTAAACTCCGATCGCTGCTGAAAATTCAAAGTCAGGTCCCACCTGTAGAATCGGTAGATAAAGCATTCACCGAAAGTGCTTCAGGGAAGGGCTTTCAAGTAATAGTTTGATAAACGCATATGGTCTGGCATCTGCATGTCTTGAGATACTGTTGAAATTAAGTCAGATTTTTAATGAAGTAGCTCCTTCAAGTCTTGGAACTAATCGCATGGGCTGTGGTCAGCTGAGACGCTTTGAGAGCACTTGAGCTTTCTGGTTTTAATTTGTATTTATTGCAGGGAAGGACTTTTGATCAAATATAAGAACATTGCGTGCTACGCTCCTCCAGACTTAGACTCTCAGAGGTCCTGTGGCTGGTTCTTGCCATCATGCATGGCCACAAGATGTGTTCACAAAATACTGAGTGCATGCTTTGATACCGAACTCCTGTTTTCATGCATCTTAATTAGCGAAGATATAAAATGCGGTTCCGAAGGTAGCATTAAACATGCAACTACACTTCTTAGCCACAGGAGGGGTCTCTAGTTCAGTTATTAGTAGCAGGTAATAAAATGTTTCTAAAAAGAAATGGTTAGAAGCTGTTTGTGCCACTGAGGAGCCCCAGTTAGTGACCTCTGCTCACACACCTGTAGCGCTGCTATTGCGCCACATGCTTTTGCGTAACTCCAGCTGCCTCCTCCTATGCGACTTCCCTTCTCTATTCTGCAGTACAACCGCCACCCGTTGTATGTGTTGTCACAGGCGATCTGTATAACCTAGGAAATGTTTTCTGCATGGCCAAACTGGCTGAGGAGGTTAGTCCTGAGAAGTTTAAATGTACTGTTGGAAAATAAAGATAACAAACGAGTCGGTCTTCTTAGTTTGTCTTAAATGAGATAGTAGGTGTTTCGTATTTGGCTTTTCCTTAGGTTTTTTTTTTGGGGGGGGGTGTATTTGGCTTTTCCTTAGGTTTTTTTTTTTGGGGGGGTCTTTTGTTCTTGTCGCTTCTCAGGACGTGATTCTGGCTGACTGGCAGGAGGCTGCTAGTTGTCAGCTGCGTGTGGCAGCGCCCTCTGCTCAGGAGTTGTTCAAGCTCTGCTGGTGGCCCCTCGGAGCTCTCCTGAGCTATCTCGAGTAGAAACAGTAGTTCTTTTTGTGCAAACTGCGCGTCTTCCTTGGGAAGTGCTGCTACAGGTCCTTGTCCGAGATGGGCTCCAGGATTAGATGGGCTTTGGATCAGACGCTTCTGTTCATATCTGATCTTCGTGTTACAATAACCATCCGTCTCACTGATCATCTGAGTATTGTTTTCTTCAGAGGCGTAATTATTAGACCATGCCTGGCTGCTTGGATGCAGAGACATACGTTGTAGTGGTGATAGCTGCGCTTTCTTGGGATTTAAGTACAAGCTTTACTCAGCCGAATGGTCTATGCTGTTACCTTGTGGAAGACTTACTGCTTTTGTTCAGACTCGGGTATTTAAAACTCTATAGGGGTCAATTCCAACGTAAAGGGAAGGGGGGGCGGAATCCAGCGCTTTTAATATTTTGAAGCCTGAAAGGATTAACAGTTCACCTGGAATTTGGTTATCTTTCCATCATAGTTTTCCAGAGATAAATAATCCCCTACTAAAACTCGATACCCTGAAGAGAATCTGGAGCAGTTTAATGGAGAGAGGATCTGTACGGAGGAGCCTAGAACAGGCTTGTTTAACTCGAGTGTCTGCCCAGTTCTAACCTGGGCTTTACCCGTGTAAACATCTTCCTGGAACTGCTTTATAAAGGGAGTGGGAAAAGATATTACTTCGTGGAAGCCTCCATCAGCCCTCATCTTATATTCCAAGAGGTTTAAGGCATTTACAACACACGACGGGAACTGCCAGTGCTTGTACT